GCTGCCAACCCCCGCGGGGGGCAACGGCAGCGAGTGCGACTGCCACGAGTGGCACTACCGCATCAGAGCCGGCCTCGTCCAAAACGTCGTGAGCAAGGTGAGAAAGGCGGCTTCCTCCGGCCCCCCTCCCCGTCCGGCCCTCACCGAACCCCTCAGCGCCACCCCAGCCCCGCTCACCGCACGCTTTTCCTAACACAAGACGAGCAGCTGGACACGATGCGGATTTGTCTGTGTGTGCCGCAGCTGTGTCGGCCAGGCGCCCCGTGGGTTACCCTCCCATTGGGAGTACATCCCGCATCCCCGCAATCCTTTCCCTCCCTGGGTGTCGTGATGTGTGTCCGTCCGGTGGGTTTGTACCGGGCCGTTGGTTGTGGCGCTGAGCTGCAAAGTTGTCTGGAAACGGGATCCTCGGCCCACCTTTGGGATCCCAGCGATGGCAGTTGTCCTGCTGTCTTGGGACGCGGGCGTCTGTGGGAAAGATGCTGCGGGCGAGTGTCACCAGCTAGTAAGGGGACAGGGTTGTGGAGAAGGCTCCAGTTGGGGTATCGCTCGTCTTTGTGCAACTGTACTAAAGCAGCCCTACAAACAAAAAGCCAGGTTGGTTTTTTGGGGAAGCTGGTGAGGTGGTCACTGTGAGGATGAAAAAAAGACAAAGTTCTGCTGAATTATTCTTGTTTTGTGCTTATTCCCTTGATACTGGTTTGGTAGAGCAGTAAAAGAAGAAACATCTCACACAAGTTGTTGTACTCTAGAGGTAGAAAGTGCGTGCTGCTCTGTTTTGTGTTTCCTGATGTAATGGCTAAGGTGGAAAATTTCTGAGGAGGGCTGCGCCGCTTTCTGCTCTTACTTCATATTTGCTGAGTAGTGCGTGCAAAAAAATGCCTCGCCTTTTCACCTGAAAGCTCCTGCTTGTTTATGGTAGCAGCCCTGCAAAAGCCCTGCCAACTGTGGATGGGCCTCGTTGGTATTAAAAGGCAAACTAGAGCTCTTGGAAATGTAAAATGAAACTGTTACACCAAGAAAGTAGTTCCCTTAATCTCAAGACACCCCTTCCCTAAAATCAGCAAAAATTTCTTCCTGCTTGGGAGCAATGGTTTGGATTAACTGAGTTTATCTGGTTGGGAGAAAAATGCAGCAATAATCAGATGACTGTCATGATTGTGCTTCGTATTGAGTCACTGAAAATAATTTGGATTTTTGTGTCCCTTTAAAGCATGTGCAGTGGGGAAAAAGCAAGTCCCTCAAAACCTTGAACCCTGACTGGACTGAAAAAAGGAGAGGAAAAAAAAAAAAGTAACACAACTACACTCTTCATGAGATAAACAGGCACATGGTGGGGTTGAATGGTTTGTGATGTAGAAGTGCATAATGAAATTTGACATTTAAGTGAGGCTGATTTTCTTCTGTTTATAACCAGAGACTGAGCTATTCATGTGTTTTAGGGTTTAACACTGATGCTTAACCATGAAAAAAATGATTTTGAAATATTTCTTTTTAGTGTTAACTGTAAAAAAAATTTTTTAAATGTTTGAATCTTTTGAAGGTCATCATCAAGTTGGCCACAAAAGGTCGAGGGAGAGTTAGTTTGCTATCTTTCATGCTTCTTTAAAAATAATAAGAAAAGTGTTCTTTAGAGGAACTTGTGGTAAAGGGCAGATCAATTTTAAGGGATAAACAAACATCTGTGGTCCCTGCTGTCTTGTTTTCTATTAGAAAGAATAATAATAATCTTTTGAGACTATGGGTTTTTCCAGCATGGTGTTTTTATTTTTGTTGTATGCTTGCTTCTAAAAACTTGGCAGCTTTTTCGCTTTGATTTGTAATCCTGTGTAATTATAATTAGGTTGTTTTCTCGGGGTCAGGATTCCTCCTTAGTTTGTGCTTTGGTTTTGTTTGGGGGGTTTTCTGGGTGGGTGTGCTGTCTTTTTTTATCCTACTGAAGAAAGAGAGGAAAAACCCAGGCAGAACACCGGTGGGGCTTCATCTGGACTTCCTTTCTTATAAACCTCCAGGAGCTCTGATACTCTGGGAGCAATTCTTGTAACTGCTGGCTCCTCTTACGTGTATCGCACCATCCTTTGTGAGAAGGAGCTGCCCTGGATGAATTCAGAAGACTGGATGTTCAGAACTCCCTTAACTCCTCTCAAAAATACATTTGTTTCTGTAATGTATTATGCAATGTTCTCATCGTTCTAAATAGAGTTTTATTAAATCTTAGTCTAATATACGCTCATTTGTGTAGTAGCCAGGGGTTATATTGAAATATCATAAAGAGAGCCAAAAGTATATTAATAAAAAATGCACTTTTGTTTGGCCAGTAAATCCCCTTGTTCTCATCTTCAGCGGTCAAAGCTAATTGCTGCTGGATGCTCCATCATTGCTTTGTCTTCAGAAATGACAAAACAGTTGTGGTTATTTAACACGAAGCATAGTTCCTGCTCTCCATTTTTCTTGGTGTACATGCACGTGAGATGTCACCGTCCCCTGTTCCTTGGGAGCAGACAGCTGTCCTTAAACTGCTGTAAGTTTCACTGTCTCCACAGCCTCTCTCCTAATGGTACCCTTCATCAGACGTTGTCTCTCTGCCCAGGCTTTCTCAGCTCTCCCTTCCCCAGTGCCTATTTTCTCTCAGCCTGTGTCATGCTTGGGATTGATGGAGTGGAGATCTTGCTGTTTCCAGCCCTGCTCTGTGCTTTGCTTTGCCCCGCTTCTCTTTAAGACATTGCTGGAGCCAGGGGTGGCCTTGCACCTTCCTTGAAGATTGGCATTGCCACGCTAGGCGCTGCCATTATCCTGACCTCGGTGACTGAGTCACTGGGAACGCTGCTTTTTATAGTGCTGCCAGTCATTAGAACTGGAAATGGTAATAAAGGACGTACTGCTTATTATTTAACACTGTTGAAATACATATAGTGAAGAGGTCAGATGCATAATTTAACCACAGGGATTCCAGTGGCCATATTAAATCACCCATCTGAGCTAATGTCCTGACTCAGTACATAAATCTTAGACTTTAGCTTGGTTTGTACGTAAATATCTTCCTTTAGGACAATTCACTTGTAAAGCTTTTCCACTGCTAAATGCTTCTTTGAGGATTTTCATATCTTCGTTATCAGGCTGCTATGAGCAGAGTGCATGTGTATTGTTTGAGAAAGATGTATCCTGAACTAGCCTTCAGGCAAAAGGCTAGTTAAAAAAAAAAACAAAACACCAAACCACAACAACCTGTCATTTAAATGGTCCATGTATCTCGCCACTGTTCAAAGGAGAGATGCTGGGAAATACTCTTCTTTTTTGCCATGGGGACACCTGAGGTCTCATTTTACACATCTGCAAAGTGATCCTTCAGGTAAATTATTAACATTAATGCAGTAAGTAACATAATGAGAGCTAAACCTACGTAGCTGTGAAGCCTAGCAGGAAGTTGGAGCGTGTACTCAGCAAGGACTTTTCTAACTGTCTTGTTAACTTCTTTAGTGCCTGGATCTTCTGACTTGGATCTGCAAAGCCAGCTGTAGTCTTGGGGCAAAGTTTTCATGGAAGCCCTTAGTTACAGAACTGACAGGTTTTGTTTTTTTCCCTCTGTTACTAGGATGACCTGTCTGCTGTGTTCAATTGCATTACATGGGGGGGGGTTGGTTGTTCTGAATGCCAATTTGTATAATGGACACCAAAAGCTGACAATGGGCAAGGACTGAGGCTTGATTAAATTGTAACAGTTGATGGCACAGCATCCCTCCATGCACACCCGCAGTGTTCCAGATCGTCCCACCTCTTGGGGGTGGCGTAGAGGGAAGTGGTTAGTTGAAGGCTGCGTTTTAATCACCCAGAGCAATTATGTAATAATATTTCATGTCTAGTCAGAAGGGAATTCCTGTTGTGGCTGCTTTTTTTTTGCTCCAGATGCCTTGTTTTGCTGCAGTGCTGTTCTCTTGGCTCTCAACTTCCCACTTGATTTGGGTTGAGTCATCATCTTTCCCAAGTAACATGCCATCATTTTACCTATTTGCCACTGGTTTGATCGTTCTTGTGCCAATTTGGCTGAACCTCTAGCATATTGTCCCCTCCAAAAAAGCAGAACTTAATTCAGAGGAGCTAAATGGTTTGGGGGCAGTGCTGCCATACAGTGAACACTGGGCAGTGCTGTCTTGGTATGAACTTGGATCAGTTCAAGGTGTGATGTAATGCTCTTTGCTCTTACAAGGGGAGATGTCTGTGCCCTACCAGCCTTTCGTCCTCTTGCTTTTATGGCAGTTCTGGCACTTTCTCTAGATGCGGTTTCAGCTGATGCAGCTTCCTAACCTGGTGGAAAACTTTCTCTTTTAAATACATTTTTTAAATTATTTTTTATGGGTTTTCTGTTGGGTTAATAAAGCTAGATGGCTCTGTGCAGTGACACCTGCCCTAGGCTGTGGTGTTTTCTCATGGGATTATTGCAGGTATCTGCAAGTAGCCAGAAATGGTACAGCAAACAAATCTGTGTGTGATAATAGTGATGATAAATTTGGCACGGCTTGTGGTGTTTCTCAGGGTAGCAGACAGGTGTGCATTTCAAGTGGACTTTCACAGTTTCAGGATCTGACAATGTCCTTCACAAAATAAGAGCTATGCCACCCTTACCTCCTCCCAGTTTTTGCCTGGAATCTCACTCATTTCTGCCTATCCTCCAGTTGGCTGGTCTCTGCAAAGAGACTTCAGAAATGCTGATGCTGCTTTTTTTTTTTTTTTTTTTTTTTTTTTTCCCCCTGCAACTGACAGGATTTGTCTTGTCAGTGTTGGTTGCTGGCTGACTGGCTTCTACCTAGTCCCAAATCAATGAAAATTTTGAGTTATTGTACCCAGTGCAGTAGTTGAGTCAAAAGCGGCAAGATCGAAGCTAGTATATCACCCATGCCCTTGCTTACCTTGTACAGATTGAAGGGGGCATAGGGACCTGCAAGGCAGATACTTGCCATGGGCAGACAGACTATTCTAAATTTCTTTCAGATGAAGCTTTGAAATTACTCTCTGCTCCTAAAGAGAGATGAAGGGGTCAACAAGTCCCTGTGGTCAGAGGTATCCAGAAATACTGGCAGAACACAGCAAACTTGTATTTTT